TAAGGGGTAATGAATCATTAATTCAAATAAGGTAGAACGGAATGTGATTTTGTTAAAAATATGAAATCGATTTTCTTTTAAGCGCCCTAATCTTTCTTAATTTAGCATTTAATTATTCAATTATGCGATAATCATATAACAATAGTATGTTTATGCAATATTATGCTGCAATTTCAACTTATTCATCATATTATGCGAATCACTGTCCCTGTTCGCCATGGCTAGGATACTAGCAGAAGTATCAAAAACGTAAATATTTATCACTGTTACAAGATATAAGTAGATAATCCAATGGTTTTACGATCAGGTGTAATGTCGCGCTTAAAAAAATGGAATATTTTAAGAACACAACTTTCTATAACGTAAATATTCTAGACTGGCTTATTTCTCAAGAAAAGAATTTTCCAGGGGATTACCGCTCACCTCAAGATGCAATTACTGCCTTTAAAGATGATATTTCATCCTTCTATAAGTGTGAACGTGAGAAGAAAACATTTATAATCAGTCAATTACGGGTCTGCATTTTTTTAATTGATTTAAATCGTTTTTTAAAAAGATGATGAACTTTTGATAACTATAGAATATGGTCTTGAGCCTTACAGCTCTACCAACCGAACCCCTTTTTTTGTACTTTATCACTCTTTAGATATAATATGGTCTTGAGCCTTACAGCTCTACCTACTGAATTCCATTTTGTGCCTAAACATTTTTCTTGACAGCTGAACTACCCCTTGCATACATATTCCGTTGGTCTTGAGCCTTACAGCTCTACCAACCAAACCCCTTTTTTTGTACTTTATCACTCTTTAGATATAATATGGTCTTGAGCCTTACAGCTCTACCTACTGAATTTTCATTTTGTGCCGAACTACCCCTTGCATACATATTCCGTTGGTCTTGAGCCTTACAGCTCTACCAACTGCCCTTTTTGTATTTTAACGCTTTTTACTTTAGATTTAGTTCTGGGCTATATAGCTCTAACAATTCATAACATCATATTTTGACTTCTGATACTATTTTTTTCTATTCTTTTAATGTATATTTTATTTTGGTCATTAACAATTTATATACTTTTATATTCAAGCGCGATGAAACAATAATCAAAGAAAATTGGGCAAACATTATATTAAGCATCAAAGGGCATAGAACATTTTTAGAAATAGAAAAAATCTATCAAATCAATCGTGAAAACCGCTGGTCTAAGATGGTCGTAGAACATATAAAAGTAAAATTTTGTTTTCTTGTTCAGTCTAGAATTTTTAACTATTTAATTTAAATTATTTTTATTTTTATTTTTTTATTTTTTTTGCAGATGATCAAACCTAAAGCGGACCAAACATATTTGTCTGATTTATAAATAAAATATTTGAAAATCTCAAACGATCTGAAATCTGTAACACTAAACGAGACAATAT